TCTTTTTTAAAAAACAGGGGGTGGGATGTGTTCTTTCCTTTTCTTTTTTTTAAGATGGTAGCCTATTCTAATGTGATGGCTCCTTCATCTTCTTTCTGAGGATACTGTTTTATAGTTTTGTCTTGCTCTGAGCACTGCCTTTATTTCTTGAAGTTCGTTTTCCTATTTGCTTTCTTGTGTCTTTATTTTTCACGTTAAGCATGTTCTTCAGATGTCTGGTGATCCGTGGATGTCCAGTCATATTTAACAGCAGGCCCCCAAAAAGCCCATGGAAGCTTCATGAGAGGCAGTAACCTTCACTGAGATGTGATCAGGTGGGGGACCCAGATGTTGGGCTGGGACACCCCCTAACATTGAGTATGCGTGTCTACTCTTGGGCCTGTTTCCTCAGAAAAGAATCCTCCAACCTTCCGCCAGGAGCCTGGGGGCAGGTGGGTTCTAAGCCGTCAAGCTCCTCAAAGCCTCACTGCCAAGTAGACCCCGTGTTCCATAAGGCACCTCGTTCCTATTTTCAGCTGTGGCTAGGGTCCCCAGTTTCAGTCCTTCCTTGCTTTACTCCGTCTTTACAGTAAACCCACTACCTTCTGTGGGGCTAAGGGGGACTGGTAACCCGGGGCCCAGGCTAGGGAAGGAATCGAATGTCTCTGGTGTCAGACTTTCAGATAATCTTTCCCCCCACCCCTCCCAGCCATACTCCTGCCATCTGAGGTATGCAGTGTCTCAAATTCCTGTGCCTTTCTTGGGGATCCACAGCAGAAATCCTCACAGACACTTGGCAGGGTAAACAGAAACCTCATCAGTGTTATTGGTCAGCACTGAGCAGGCCAGGCTGTGGTAACAACCACTCTGAATCCCCAAGGCTGAAAACAGCAGACGTAGATTTCTCTCTCACACTACATGTCTCCAGGGTCATCAGGGAGCCCTGCTCATCATGGGCCCCTTGGGACTTGTGCTGGTAGAGGCCCTGCCGTCTTACTACAGGCTTCAGGGGAAGAAGCTGCCCCCCAACCCCCAAGCAGCATGGCCCATCACTGCTCTCCTTTCAGTGGCCATGGTGATGGGGGAGTGCGGTGTCATCCTTCCCATGCGTGAAGGAAGAGGACAAGTGGACATATGGGGAAGCACCGACCTCTACTGCAGCCAATCAGCACTTTGGTGTTCTACAATTGTGGTGTTCCCTTCTGCTGCTGTCTCCTGCTGTCTCTTGGTGCCTGTGGCTTTACACACTTTTATTATTTTATTGTTATTTTAGTGTAGCTTTAAGAGAGAGCAGAGATAAACACCACTTCAAGCTGCACAACACACTGCTCGAAAGAGCCCAAACCTTCCAAAACTGACACCGTATGCTAGCTACTACCCATCTCTCTGATTCTACCCTGCGTCTGTTCCCCACTCAGAACGATTTTTGTTGCCTACAGAGAGGCTAGTAGGCTGTGAACTTTTCAGAACTAGTTATTCCTTAACAATATTTTTTACAAAAGTGGGTAGGGAGGTTGTTTACAAATATATTCGGAATAGTGAAATCTTTAGTAGGAGCAAAGCACTTACAGGTTGTTAGAATTTTCAAAAACCAATTATTTTCAATCAGTGCTGAGCCTCTAGCGCATGTTCAAGTTCTGGCTAACGAGCAGTCCTATCTTCACACGCACCCATAAACAAATGCCAGTTTCCTCCAAGTGAAGAGCAAAACACTATAGTTCTAAGGGAATGAAAACGGGCATTAAAAGCAGATTTAACGATCAGCAGTTATCGTTGGCAAGTGGAAATGCAGGTGTTTTTTATTTCCTTCTATGTGCTCACTGTAGCTTCTGATCATGCCATTTGGTTTCGTTTTGTTTTGCTTTTCTGTTTTGTTTTTGAGACTGAGAGGAGAGAAAGCTTGCGGGGAGGGAGGAGGGGCAGAGGGAGAGGATCTTAAGCTGACTCCATGCTAAGTATGGAGTTCAATGCGGGCTCCATCTCACGACCCTGAGATCAGCACCTGAGCTGAAATCAAGAGTCAGACGCTTAACTGACGGAGCCACTCAGGCTCTCGGATTATTCCATTTGAAAATGCATTGCTACTGCACCAAGAATTCCAAGGCTGCTTCTCCGGGTCTGCTGACCACAATCATGGGAAGACAGTCCCCTTTGCTAAAACCATACCTGTGCTACTAAAAGATGTAGAGAAGCCTCAAATCCACAGATCGTAGGGCGGGGAAACTGCCCTGATGCATTTTTTTCCCCTTTGACTCAGTGGTTCTTAATCTTTTATATGCTGAGGAGTCACAGGGAGAGTTTATAAAATGAAATAAACCAAAGCAAACAAAACAAAAACAGATCGTTGGGCCCCACCTTAGGTATTCTAATTTGGAAAGGAAAGGCAGAAATTTGTATTTTTGACAAGAACCTTCCAGGCAGACCTCAGACCACACTTTAACAGTCTTTTTTCATTTTCTACAACAGCATACGCAGAAAGGGCATTCAAAAAAATATTTTCTGATGCTAAGATGGGAATCAAGAGAATGTACAGACTTCTATTTTCCCCTCATAATACCATCAAAGAGACAGGAAGCAAAGGTCTTTACTATGAACATGGCAGGACAGATGAAATACAATTCACAGATTCAAAGAGCTTCAAAACGGAATATTTTAAAGCACAGGTTTTGGGTTTTGCTTTGTATTAACTCTTCCTAACTCAGTAAACCCCACTCACTAATCTCTCAGCATCAAGCTGAAATTTCTGCCAGCATCATCCAATATCCTATTATCAATTCTGCCTTTTGAATGAAACATCGTGCAAGAACTTTAAGTTGGTCTCCTAGTTCAAATGCATCAAAGCAAGCCTGGGCCCTTATAGTGGCTGCTATACTGTGGGCTCATCGCAAGGCTTCAGGGACAACGGGGTTAAGTCGGCTACGTCAAGGAGCTGGTGCACAGAAGAAAGCTGAAGGAAGGAGCCAGCATCTGGACCTAATACTCTCACAACTTTTTCTCTGATGGCTTTCCAAGTTTCTAAAAAGGATGTAGAACACGGCCTCTTGCCAGCTCCTTACTTTTGAAAACCTGCTCCATTTCCACTGCATTTGCAAAATGCTGCAATACTTCCCTTCTTGCCAGGAGGAACCTAGAGGCAGCTGGAGGTCAGGAAGAAGTCTACATGTGAGTGCACCTGTCTTTCCCTGTTCATATGTGAAGCCTGAACAGCAGAGGAGAGACATCACTGAGCTAACTGACCCAATGCTGCCCCCTTGCTGGGGCGGACGCAGATCCTTTCCCCAAGGGTTTTCCACCTTTCCTTAGGGGAGCCAGCGATTTCATTAGCTACCACCAAATGTTGACTGTTACTTAAAGAGGAAGTGAATGATACCTCTGACCTGCGTGGCCGTTCACGGATAAGTAGGATGAACAAAGAGCTTCCAATAATGGCTTCGCACTCCAAAAGATATACTGAGAGGTAACCTGGTGCAATCACAGAATGCAGAATTAAATGAAATTGAATTGAACCTTCTAACCCTTCGTCTATTCCAAGCTCTCATTTTAAATGAAAGTGCTTAAAAATTATTCAAGAGAATGGGAAAGTGGGAGAGAGCAGAGAGAGAATCTTTAGTGCCAGGTAGTGGGGGCAAAGGTTAGTCTTCTTGATTTATTTTCAATGGACTGTGACACTCAAGCTTGCCACGTTATCAAATTTCTTAGGTATTCCAAGAATGGAAAATAAAATGTTGGCAGAGACAGCAATAGCTTTCTGTACCTCATCCCGAGGAAGCACAATGCAGCTTGACACCGCGAGCAGGTCTTTTGCAGAGAAGGGTGCCCCAGCTCCATCAGAAGTGAAAATTGAGCATTTACTAAAAGCCACAGTGAGATACAGGGTGGATGAAAAGTGCAGAAACTCCTGGCAGAAAAGAGCTCAGGAGGATTTCCTTGATGTCCTCCAAGGATGCCACGATGGTGGATCCAAATTGTTAAGGGATTACTGTAAGGCAGTGGTTCTCAAACTGTAATCCTGCGATCAGCAGCAACAGCACCACCCGGGAACCTGTGTTCACAGTGTTGAACTTCACCTGAGCCCTGGGACTCCGGAAAAACAGCGAGAGTTAAGGAAACCTCCTCCTACCCTTTTGTGCTCCGGAAATGGCTTCCTGCAAAGACCACCACCCCCTCCCCATGTGACTTACAGAAGATTCCTCCCCTTGTTCATCTATGCCAAGGTCAGACACAGACCCTCCAAATTCACGTTCTTTGCCTGACAATGATCAGCCGAACTGCCAATCGGTCAGAACAAAAGGTCTGCTAACCAGCCTTTGCCTAAGTTTTTCCCCCTTCTTTCAGGTCCCTGAACTTTTAACCCTCCTCAACAGTCCTCTGGAGAACAGGCTGACCTCAGGTTTTAAAGCATACTCTCCCGTGCCAGGCATTCAAGCCAGGCTTACGCCCCACTTCCCCACACCTCCTTCTTTCTAGGCCTGTTTACTCCTCCCTGGGAAAGAGACTCTCTTTTTTGCCCAGCCCCAGAGACCCCTGCAGATTGTACGGGCAGCGGTTCTCCCTTTGCAATAGGCAGCGACCCCTGTTACAAGAGGACCTTTCTATCCTTTGCAGGAAGCCTTCCCGATGAAGTAAGTCTCCCCTCGCTCAATCTAGACTTGGTTTTTACTTGGCACGAAAAGGACAGATTCCCAGGCCCCACCCCAGGCCTTCTCCGTGAGAAACCAGAGGGTGGCAGGGCGGGTCGTGGTGATGCGCCCGGAAACCGGTTTCTGAACAGGCGCCCTGGGGAACAGTTTGAGAACCGCTGACTCACCGGCGTCCCTCCAAGGGTGTGATGAACGCGCGCCCCACTTGAACCCCGTGTCTCACGCGGGGGCGCTGAGCGCAAGCTACCTCCGGGGCCGGCGCTGGGCATGCGCCTGGCGGCCGCGGCGAAGGCATCTCCCGGGGTCCGGCGAGGCCGCGCGTGCAGCCGGGGCCTCCCCCGCCCCCCCCGCCCCGCCCCGCCCCGCCCCGCGCGTACTTACATCTCCGTCCCCCGGCCTCTGGTCATCGCAATCCCTGGTGGGACTAATGTCCTGGCGCATGACCCAGATGGGCTCTTTGGGCTCGTCGGGGGTGTAAGGCGAACGGATGGTCCTGGTTTTCACCTCCTCGATGGCCTCTTTGATGTCCTTGATGGCCAGCGAGATGGCGTCCCTCTTCTCCTTGCTGTAGCGCTGCCCCGCCTCGCCTCCCGCGGGGCCCGCCGCGCGCTGCTGCCCGGCCGGCGGCACCTGCGGCTGCCCGGGGCTGTCGGGGCGGCCGCCGCCCGGGCCCGGGGTGGGGGCGCGCTCCAGGTCCTGCTCGGCCTCGGGCATGTCCTCGGCCGCCTTGTCGAGGCTCTGCGAGCTCATGCTCTGCTTGACTTCGGCCACGATCTGGTCGATGTCCTCCTCCTGCTCGTAGCTGTCCATGCGCGGGTAGGGCGCGAACTCGGCCTCCTTCTCGGGGCTGTCGGACTCGCCGTCCGAGCGCTCGTCGTAGTGGTGCAGCCGCGCGCCCAGGGCCTCCTGGCGGTAGGCGGCCGCCGCGGCGCGCTCCCGCTCCTGCTCCAGCAGCCGCAGCCCGTCGCGCGCCTCCAGCTCGGGCGCGTCCCCGATCTCCTCGTACACGTGCTCCTGGAGGCCCCCGTAGTCGGCGTAGGGCTCGGCGTACGGTTCGTCCTCGCCGCGGTGGAACAGCCGGTGCGTGTACACGTAGCCCGAGTAGGCCGCGTTCATGGCCTCCTCGTGCTCCAGCGAGTGGAAGTGCAGGTGGTTGGGCAGCGCGCGGCGGTGCGAGGCCTCGGCGTGCTCGGCCTCCGCCTGCTCCGTGTACTCCTCGGCCTCGGGCCGGTACTGCACGGCGTAGGCGCTCTCGTCCTCGGGGTCCTGGGCGCGCTCGGGGTCGTAGCCGTCGCGGGCCGCGGCGATCACGTCGCCCTCGGCCGTGTCCGTGTGGTTGTGGAAGCCGCTCTCCGTGCTGGCCGAGCGCGCCAGGCTCTCCCCGCGCTCCTCCTCCTCCGGCTGGCCCGGCGGGGCGCGGAGGTCCTCGGCGACAGGGCGCCCGCGCACAGGGCGGCCCGCATGGCGCAGCTGCTGCTGCTGCTGCTGCTGCTGCTCCTGCTGCTGCTGCTGCTGCTCCTCCTCCACCTCGGGGTGCTCCAGGTCAGCCTCCACCGACTCGTTCACCTCCCCGCCTGCCGCCTCGTCGGGCACCTCCACCTCCGCGGAGCCCTCCAAGTGGTTCATGGTGGGCGTCGGGCCGGCTGGGAGACAGGCTGGGCCGCCTCACTGCGCTGCTCTCATTTTGCTCCACCCGTCTGGGAAGACAAGAAGGGGAGGGGCTGTTAACGTGGTGGTTCCGAGCTGAGCACCCGGAGAAGCCATAAAAACAGCTGCTATTGATCCCTTCTGAATCCGGGTCAATTAAAAAAAAAAATGATTGCAAATTTAAACTCCATCTGACGGCACGTAGTGCATTTTCCTGCGTTGCATGTGTCGTAATTTGTAATTACATATCTGCTCGTCTAATTGCTTGCTGGCTCTTTCCTTCCCCACCCCTCAGACTGAGGGCCTCATGAGCGGGTTTTGTTTTCGCTCCCACCACGCTTACTATTCAGGTTCCATTTCTGATGCGCATGAATAAAGAGTAGTACTAAATTGAATGGGCCAATTGACACATTTTCCATCTGCTAAGGGATAAATCTCTCCAAATTAAACTAGGATCCTAGATACTTTAGAAATGGTTCTTTAAATAAATTTCAAGGGAAAAATAGTCTCGACGTGTTTTGAGCTCTTGCAGTCAATATAAACATGCGGCCTTTCCGAGGCAGGCTCTCTACCATCAGAGGGTAGAGATGGCACCTGTCATTCATTACTGGCTCTGTTGCTTTGGACAAGTGCCTTAATTTTCTGGACCTCCACTTTGATATCGAACTCATTTACTAAGGGCCGTTACACAGGGAAAAAGACTCTGTGGTCAAGTTAATTCTGGGAAATGCTTACTTAGAGTTGACTTTTCATTGTGAGTATTCAAGAGGGAAGGGACAAGAAGTGGGGTTTCCCGAACTTGCGTGGCGAGGAAACCCTTTTCTTCCTTGAGGACAGTGTTCTGACAAATATACTTAAAACACTGACTACTGTACTTCCCCATACGCCCTGAACCTAGAATTCTCTAGGTCTATGAATTATCATTATAGCTGGTACTAGATATATGGAAATCATGGCTACTTTCTTAAAAATATGGTTATGTCTCTTTACTTATTTCCAGAGAAATTGGTAGCTAGAGACACATTTGGTTTCAACCTCTGTCAATTGTTCTTATCACAAAATAGCTTTAGAGCATAATGTATCCAGTGGATGGAAATAAAAACAAAGGATGTATGGAACAACAAAAACAGGCAGGATCCCTACGACTTCAGGATACCTATGGTATATGGGTTCAACAATAAGCGTAGGTTTTTCTCATAGTGTTCTTTTGGAGAACCCCCATTACGACTGGACAAAATGGATAGGAAGTGAACTCTTTTACGTACTAGCAGAAAGCTCCAAGAGGACCAGGGACACTTGACTCTCTAATATTGCAATAGACTATATTCTACTCAGCTCCCCACAACCACAGCAATTTCCTTCAAGCACAATGACAATCCCAGTAGTAAAGGAGGGCCTTTTGGAGCTACCAAGTCCACCTTCAATCAGAAAGATTATCTTTCCCCCGTTCTTTGGTGGATCCACTCCCATCCCCCCGACTGCCGACTGACACACTGACACGATTATGGTTTACTAGAGATGGACAATCCTATTGCCTTCCTCCTTGACAAGAGTCCCACTTCATACAAATGAGACCTCGTCTCCTTTGAAAAATTGTGGCCTCCTCTCATTAACCCTTGAGAACAATGACTCTTACTATGCATAAGAAAGTTTTCCAAAAGCAAGTAATGAGGCTCCATTCAGACTTTGATGAATAGTTGATGGTTTGAACAGAAGAGGCAAGTATTGGTGCCAAGGTCCCCCTGGCTAAGTGGCCTCCAGTGGATCATGGAACAAATAATTCAATTCAATATACCACATGGATGAGAACGGTCTACCCACATTTCCTTTATGAGGCCTCTCTGGAAAAGACAACAAATTAAAAACCAATGTACACATCTCAGTCTGATGGACACAAATCAAATGTTCACAGAGAGGGATACTGAACATACCAAACACTTTTCTGGATACCATTACCCTGAGATACTTCAGCTGTGTGTGGTCAGTGCTAGCAATACAATAATAAGCATCCAAAGCATGGGAATGGCCGACAATTCATGATAAGCATGTGCAGAATTGACCAAAACACTATCTACAGTGAAGGTAGATTTTATTGATGACAATCTCCCAACACATCTAGTAAAAAGAAGTTTTCGTTTAGGGGTGCCTGTGTGGCTCAGTCAGTTAAGTATCTGATTCTTGATTTCAGTTCAGGTCATGATTTCAGGGGTATGGAGCCTGCTTAACATTCTCTCTCTGCCCCTTCCCCTCACCCCTACCCTCACTCCCTTGCACAGTGGTGCTTGCGTGCACTCTCTCTCTAAAAAAGCTTTATTTATTCTGGGTTAAAATTGCTGTTTGACCAAGAGACAGTGCCCTCTCATCGAACGCTTATTGATTCAAAGGAGATGGGATTTCCGAGCATGTACATACACTTAATCATGGTAACGGAAGTTATAAGAAGCCCATGAGGACACCTGTCTGCCTCAGTGGTTGAGCATCTGCCTTTGGCTCAGGTTGTGATCCCAGTGTCCTGGGATCAAGTCCCACATCAGGCTCCCTGCAGAGGGAGCCTGCTTCTCCCTCTACCTGTGTCGCTGCCTCTCTTTCTGTTTCTCATGAATAAATAAATAAAATCTTAAAAAAAAAATCTAAAGGGGAAAACTCAAAATACGAACAAAGACATTTCTTACGGAATTTGCTTTAAAAGCAAAGATTATGAACATGAACTATTAAGCACTGATATTTGTTAAGGACCAGATGTTAAGCGTCTTAGCATCGTATTTGGATGCAGGAGGAGGTAGGGGTTTTCTTTCAGGTGGCTCCACCTGGAGTCAGAGTTCACCCAGCACTCAAACTCAACCTGCCACAAGGGAACAAATCATGCCACCCCGCCCGCCCTCCCCACCCAGCTCCCAAACCTGGCCCCGTACTGTATTCCCTGTATGGGTCAAGGCATCCCCAGCACCCAGTTGCTTGAGCTCAGACCCAGGAATCATCACTGACTGGTCTCTTTTCCTCACCTCCTTGCCCAAACTGATGACCAAGTCCATTGTCTTAATATCTCCTACATCTCCCTCCTTGCCATTGCCTTGTCTTGGTCTGTCTTGCCTACACAATTGTTTCCTTGACTAATTTCTCAGTCCTCACAAATCCATCCTTCCCACTTCTAGCCAGATAATCTTTCCAAAATGCAAATCTGAAGCCGATAACCCTATTTCTTAAACTCTTCAATGATTCCCTTCTCGTGCATAGTATAAATGCTTAGCTAACCATACCAGACACTACTAGGCATTTTCGACACAACAATGCATTAAATCCTCATACTAGCTGATGAAGAGAGTACTCTTCTACTCTCTTCCTGGAGAGAATTATCAGCTCCTTTAAAACTGAGGAAATGGAGGCACAGTTGAGCTGGGTGATCCCGCTGGTCTCACAGGCAATGGAGTTGGTGGGACTCACATTTGACACCTGCTATCCAGCTCTATCTGGGTTCCTAAGTCCTAGTCCCTGCAAACAGAGCCCAGGAGCCACATCACTCCACCAGCCCCTCTGCCACACTTCCCCTGCACCCCATGTTCTAACACCTCCAGCGCTGACCCAAACTGCCTTCCCTATTCTCAGCATATTTTTCACCTACATTTTGGTGACTTTCTTTTCTTCCCCAGAGGAAGTTCACACTTGAGGACTGTCTTACGTGCCAGCCTCCAGGCAATGTTCTAGGCACTGCAGCAGAGCAGTGACCAAGGAAGATGGGCTTCCCTGATTCTTGAAGCCTCCATTCTGGTCCATGAGGTGGGGGGAAAGGAAGGGAGGTGAAAAGAAAGGACAGGTGAACAGACAGTGACCAGGTTAATAGACAAACAAGACAGATCCAAATAGTGAAATGTCTTATGAAGAAAATACAATGGTAAAGGCACAGCAAGTGACCAAGAAGAGGGGATTATGCAGATAGTGGCCAGAGGAGGTGATGTTTGAGCTGGGGTCTGAAGGATAAGGAATGGCCGCATAAAAATCTGAAGGCAGGCCCATAAGGCAATAAGGTACTTGCTCTGCTCAAGGGCAGAAGCCATGTTTGTTAGTGAGAAAGGGATGGTGGGGAGGGAGATGTGGATGAGGAAATGGGAAGCGCTGGCAAGGCTGGGCCTGGTACATCATGGTAGAATTTGGATTTTATCTCAAGTGCATTGGTAGGCTACTAGGTGGTTTTAATCAGGGGAATTACAAGGCTTAATTGACTTTTCACTTTGTCCCTACTTTATTATTATATATATATATATATATATATATGTATATGTATTAAATATGCATAATTTATATTATAGCACCTGTCACACAAAGCCACAGTTTTTTATAAATATGAAGTACCCAGGAAAAGAGGACCTGTCATTTATCTTTGATTCTCCAGTGCCAAAAACAGAGCATGCCCAGTTGGTAGTCAATGAATTTTTAGTTGGTAGTCAATGAATTTTTAGTAATTAAAAAGGAAAACAGTCTATTTACCCCTCAACATTTGGGGCCTCCTAGCTGTTCACATGCTCAGCCTTTGGAGAACTCATTTCTTCTTTCCATCTCAAATTTTTGCCACCCTCATCCATCCACGCACCTCCTCCACCTTCTGATGTTTCAAATGCACAAAGAATGCTAGTGATTCAATATTTTCCTATGTTTGGGTGTATCAATCCAGGTGGCATTTATTAGACATGTACCAGGTACCATGCAAAGGCAAGGGGCATTCAAGAGTGTCTGAAGCATGTTCCCAGCCTTCAAGGGCAGACAGCTCTAATGATTATAATACCTGCTGATACATTCAAAATAGAAATAGGTTCAAACTACAAAAGGAGCTTAGAGTTAAACCAGCAACCACAACTGCATCCTCTTTGTGAACTATATGAGTGCTGCTGTTCTTAGAGGGTCTAGATTTCATGAGCTCATAAGCATCCTAGGAACTAAGGCCTGGGAGAAGAGGGCCTTCATCCAATCAGCGGCCTTCATTTGGTCCTCTGTGCCTCTGGAGTCTCGGGCAAAGGGAGGAGGAGTAGCTGGTTGAAGAAGAAAATCCCTCCCCCTC